CTACACCCAGCTTCCACAAACATTAGCATTGCTGGTGTTGGTAGGCAAGTAGGACATTGTTTATTGCTCTTTGTCTATCGTTGCACTAATAGAGACTTTTAGCAACAAGCATAGGTAAAAATTTCCGTCAACAAGTGATCTCCCAAGACGCCGATGGAGACCAGTGCCAAGTTTCAAACCGCCTTTGGACGACTGCCAGCAATCCGAGTTTTTTGCCCGGGAAGAGTGAATCTTATCGGTAAGTGGAATGCTTGTTTCTGCATTAGTTTATCGTTTAGACAAGCTTTCCAAGGTTTGTGTCCCTTCAGCTTTATGTTGATACTTGTGAAGAAACATTCGTATTAGATGCATTTTTCCGTTTACAGAACGAAGAGTCAACGGATCGGTATCTAAAGACTTTTATAGAGTTTTTGGAACATGTAACCATGCAAAAATAATCTATTTTAGAAGGGCATTTGCCCTTTTAAGCCTTTTAAGTAGGTTATGAAAGTAAATATTTTTAACAAAATAGCCACCTTACCAGTTTTTCTCCCCATCTGACTTTCAAACTTATAATAATTTAGCACTATTTTTCTCCCCATAATCTATCCTAGTATTCAAGTGCCTTTTAATAAAGCGGAAAACGTTCCTCACTTGTGAATCATTTGCGTTCAATTGTTTGCAATGAAATATAACAGTTGAAACCTGTTTAAAATATTTTTCCCCGTTCTAGGATCTTACCTCCATTGAATTTTTTCTTTTAGGAGAACACATTGACTATCACGGATATGGAGTTCTTCCTATGGCAACAGAGTGCGGAACTGAAATCTTTGCATCCCCTAATGGAGAGTCGGTAGTACGAATTGCCAATGTTGACGATGAGTACCCGTAAGTTTTATCCTGATTGTGACTTTCTCTTTCAAGAAAAACTGAAACCTCCACAGTGAATACAAGCTGAGTCTTCCCTCGGACTGGTCTGGAGCATCACCACCAAAATGGCACGATTACGTACTGTGTGGGTGGAAAGGAATCATGGAGAAACTCAACTGTGATCAAGTGGGATTTGACCTCATGGTTAAAGGTGTGCTATTCTCCCGATGACGAATTTGCTACTAACTTTGAGTTTCTTCTAGGCACAATTCCTCCATCATCTGGACTTTCCAGTAGTTCTTCTCTCGTATGTGCAGCAGCCCTTACAACATGGATGATTCATACAAAGAAGACCTTTAATGGCTTGACGAGGCAAGATTTGCATGTGGATTTTCTCGATTATCTCAAGTTATGACATTCTAGGGAAGAACTAGCAGACCTATGCGCTGTTGCTGAACACTATATTGGGACACAAGGTGGCGGCATGGATCAAGCAGCGGAGGTACCGTTTCTTTTTTGCTTTTTGGTTTAAATTTGATAGAAATTAACGTGGTATCGTTTACATCTTAAAATGAACCAGCGCTATGGCAGTTCGAACGTCATAAACCCACAAATTTCTCACAAGAGGAAAATTTTTGTGCTAATAATACCACATCTCAGATTCTTGGTGTGGAAGGTGGTGCCATGCGAATTGACTTTGCACCCCTTCGATCGAGATTGGTCAAATTGCCAGACGCTGCAAGATTCAGCGTGCTTCATTGTGGAGTTACACTGAACAAGGTTATTGTGATCTTACCATTTTCCTCCTATTTTTACTCTCTTTACCTATTGTTTCTTATTCATTTTATAGGCTGCCACGTCGCACTACAACGAACGCGTAGTGGAAGGCCGCTTGGCATGCAAAGTAAGTTTGTATCATACAAAAACGTTCTTATCACAGTCTATTACGAATACTTGTTATGAGAATATGAGTAAGGTGCGATTTTTGTACGTTTTTTTTCATTGTAGCTTCTGCTCAAAAACGCAAATGCATCTACGAAAACATCTTTGTTGCGATTGAAGGATGTGCAGGTATTTACAAATCCCCAAGCATAAATTGTACATTGCCGGAAAGTAAAAATATTGCAGGAAGCCCTAGGAAAATCCCTCGAAGAAATGGTAGCAATGTGTGATTGTTTACCTGTTGAATCAACTCGTGACGAACTGGAAAGTTTGTTGACAAAAGAAATGGTTGCTGAATGCCTCGGCCGAAACGTGGAACTGTGTAAGTTTCTTGTATATGATTGCAAATCCTAACACAAACAGAGTCCGCATCATTCTTCTGTTACTTTCTCCTTGAAGTTTTGCAGAAGTACATTCCTTTTGAACAAAGGTTAAGATGGCAAAAATAATTTCGACATTTCAGCAAAATTCAAAATACGCTCGAGAGCACGTCATGTTTATAGTGAAGCCCTAAGGGTTGAACAGTTTGAAGAAGCCTGCAAAGCAGGAGACTTGCAAAGGATGGGAGAACTGATGAACGCTAGTCATGAAAGTTGTAGCAAGGTGAGTGTTCTCAGATTTTACATCCTAGAGGTTCCATTTCTGTTTAAAAGTAATTTGTTTACAAACTAATCGTTCTACCTTCCTTTCCTAGGATTATGAATGCAGCTGTAAGGAAATGGACGAGTTGATAAATCACTGCCGTACTGCAGGCGCCATAGGCGCCCGTCTTACCGGAGCTGGCTGGGGTGGATGCGCAGTAGCACTTATCGACAATAGAACTCCTGTAGAGTTAGGAGAAAAAGAGCTTTTTAGCACTAAGCCATGTCGTGGAATAACAGGAGAATTCCTCTAAATTATTGCTCATTAATTAATTGAGGACTTACTTGTTTGAATGGGTCCGTATCTGTGATAGCTAAATCACTTACCTAACAGACAGTGCTAAGCGCGCTAAAAATTCGCAATATTAAAAAATTATTGCATTTCGGTAACCAAGTAATCTGCTTTGAGCAAAATTCCAGATTTTCGCAAAGTCTATGGCTTCTAATAAACTGTCACTTTCTGCAAAAACATTCTAAAAAACCTTATGAACTTTATTATAAATGAAACTTCTTTAATTCGCATGCAGTGCTAATATCTCAGATTGCAATGAATTGTTGATATTGATTGAACAGGAGTCAATATAACATCACGGAAACCCATAACGTCAGTCAAATACTACAACTTCTATTCGAAGTCAAAAAGTACAGTGGAAAATTGGTATTACGTACACATCAGACACATCACAGGAAGAGCAACCACTAAAAACACAGTAGTCTAATAACCGCTAGTAAACGCATCAAAAGTCTATTATTCG